TCACAGGGTTACTGTGGAGGGGACAAAGAAAAAAAAAACACTTCTCGAAAAGCCGCACGCTTACGAGACGAAAAGTGGTTTACCCGCGTCTGGTGCATCAATATTGATTTTGAATTAATGGGAATTAATTGAATATGTTCATGGTATAAGTATGAGCTACGTTATTACAGTAGTATTCCGGTATGTTGTATCATGCTTCCATTCAGGGCTGACGGATAATGTGGGTACGGTGGGTAGCTATACGCACTCGAAAAATTCCGGGAGAGATAAAATACCCACTTGGAATTTGGGGCGAGAGAAATATTTCATAAACGTCAAATTCCAGATATGAAAAAGGATTCTCGGTATTGTGTCGACTCAAAACGTATATGCGATCAACTACTTCGCTAGATCGGCTAAACAGTTTTGCGATTTTACATGCTTGTAGCGACATGACCGACAAAGTCAATTTGCAAAAATTGTGAAATGAGTTTACATCGGAAAGCCAAATGTGGCGTGATTTTGTGCATTGCAAAATATGGCAACTTAATGATAAACAATGCAATTTGAAAAAGTTCTGTTTTGTATTTTTTATCTTCATATATATTATCCGTGGGTGATGGAGGGAGCACTACCCACTGGATCTTAACACCAATCGCCGGCCCAGCTTCCATTTTCCTGTACTGGAAATTAAGAATGTTCCCAACCTGAAAAATGGCCAGTCAATGAATACACCAAGTTTCATTTGACAGAGGTGAAGCAGTGAGCAACTAGAGATAAAATTTATTGTATTTTTTAAGAGATCTTAATACTGATATTTACTTAGAGTTTTATTTTTATTTTATTTTTTCGTGAATAGAAATGGCCCAGAGTCCGTTATGTGCATTTCTCTCAGCAGAGGCGGGGGGCGACGGTGGATATGAAAATGGCGGAAAGGGCGCGGGGTGCGTGTTAACGTGGAAGTTCCCTCATAGCTTCCGCCGGTGGAGGGGGTGTCGAGCACGCCAGAGCGCGATGTCGCGTGCTGCTTCAGCATGTCACCGTGCGTCACGCGGGGTCGCGCAGAGCCCCACGCGCGTGTCCGGAATGCGGCCTCACACGCCACGCGTGATCAGTTGCTTGACTCGGTATTGGGACCTCATTAGCTGACCACGCAAACCACTCAGTAAGATCGAAACGTCCCACGCAACGTAAAACAAAAATACCAATTTACTATCATTCTTCTTTTCCTTTTTATTATCGCCCCTCTTTCTCTCTTCTTCTCCTCCTTCTTCTTCTTCTTCTTCGTCTTCTTCTT